GAGGCAAATTTCCCCATAGGGTTCAATGTAAATCCGGTTAATCCGTTCCACCCTCCGCCCGAATTTGGTCGCAACCCGAGGCAAATTTCCCCATAGGGTTCAATGTAAATCCGGTTAATCCGTTCCACCCTCCGCCCGAATTTGGTCGCAACCCGAGGCAAATTTCCCCATAGGGTTCAATGTAAATCCGGTTAATCCGTTCCACCCTCCGCCCGAATTTGGTCGCAACCCAAGGCAAATTTCTCTTCAAAGCCTTACTCCTGCCAAGCCTGCTCTGCATTTTCTTTGGAGCCATGCTAACACGCACACCAAAAACCTTCGCAAAACACCACAAGACACACCACAAGCCTCACCGAACGTCTCCTTGCTACCGTGACCTTGCCCACAGGAAGCTGTGACCACGTGGCAGCAGGGAAAATGGCCGCGGATCCGGTTCGTAAGTCGAGGCGAGTTTGTAACCCGAGGTAAATTTTTCCTGCCGAAGCTGGTCGTAACCCGAAATGTTCATTAGTAGAGGCGTTCATAACCCGAGGTACCACTGTACATCCCTTTATTTGAACGAAGTACAATTGAGAACTGCATAAGTGGATCTGATTGGGGTAAATTGTAGGGGTGACACAGAAATATGATTTGCATTTCCTTTTACTGATGTCCTGTATTTTTTAACATATGGTCTCATTACTGTTGTGTATTTTTTATTTTTTATTCTGAGATGGCCTAATGGCTAATCAGTAAAGTATTATTAATAGAGTATTATCACTAAATGCTTTTACATCCCAGGTTTCCCATCAATTTGAGCTCATCAGAGGGACATAAAAGAGCTTAATTTCAACTGAACTCAGTGTTCTTTCTAATTCATTAAGCACATAACAATCCCCTTTCACTTATTTCTTCTTAAACACTTGTTATGTATTTTTATTTGACAATGTGTTTGGGGTCTTTTTTTCTTTTTCTGTTATTTTAAAAGTAAATAAACCAACAAGTACAAAACAATCCCATAAAAATGCCCTCTTGATAGCAAAGACCTGCCCATACAGGGCCAGACACAGAAATGGGCAGGGCTTCCACTGCCTGGCTGTCGCCACCATCTTGACTTTTTTGACCTACCTCCCCGTGGACATCCCTGTAACTGCCTTTTAACTCAGGGAGGGGGCGGCTGGGGGGCCAGAGAAACCAGAATAACTGGCTCAGAGGCCCAGCGCTCCTAATTATCCTATTATTGCTAAAATAACCAAGGGAATGAGCCAAGTCCAAATTCCCGTTCCCCTCAGCCTCAGCCTCAGCCTCATCCTCACCAGGCTGTCCAGATAAAATGGCGGGGTCCATTTATACGCCCTGCCCTGAGCTCTTACAGGAAACGCGGGTTATATAATTAACCGAGAAAAGATTTCTCCAGTAAAAAGACACCCTCCTCATTCTTGGAGATGGAGACTAACTGATGCAGTTATCATTTGCCCTCAAAAATCTCTACTTGATTGCGCCCAGATGTTTTTGAAAGACAGCGCTGGGGTAGCGATGGAGGGAAACCTGGGTTCAAGTCCCTCGTCAGCCACAGGGACTTTGGGCTTCTCTCAGCCCAACCCACCTCACAGGGATGTTGTGGGCGGTAAAAACAGGAGAGGCACCATGTCCTCCGCCTTGAGCGCCTGAACGAAAGGCGGGATCCCCACGTAACAAATAAATAAAATAAAATAAACAAGGCCTCCTGAGACCGCGTCTGCCTCTTCCTTCTCTCTCACGCATTTAGCAACAACTTGCTTGCAGTTCAACACCCACCATAAAAAGCTTTCAAAAACTCACTCAAGCGCCTGATGGGCCCAAACGTAAAAGGCAAAACTTGGGCATTGGAGGGTTAAATATGTGGACATTTGAAAGGGTGGATTTTTTTTTTCCCCGCCTCAGAAGAGCGCATTTCTCTCAGAATATTATCCGGGAGATAGTTTCGTTTCAATAGAGGTCAGCTGAAAGAAAGGAGGATTGTTTTCAGCCCTCCCTGAGGAGAAAGTCATCCTGCTGCGGGCAACGTGGACTCAGGGAAATATTTTCCCTCCTTTTCCCCTCAGAATTCTTCCCCCTTCTTCCTTCTCCCCATCACGGAGGGTCTTCCTCTTGCCTGCTCAGCTCCTGCCATCTTTTCAGCACAGCAGCGTCCACAGAGTGTGGTTAAAAAAATCAAGATAGCAGCTTTGATATGCAATCAGAGGTCCACCTGGTTTTATGGGCAATGCAGCTGCCATCTTGATTTTTTTGACCACCCCCAGCGGACCCCCCATTTCAGTCCCTTTCAGACTCAGTTTCTTGCTGGTTTTCTCACTGGCCCACCTTGACTTCTTGGGCTACCTGGTCAAAAAAAAAGTTTCTTTTTCAGGGGCCACACCATGGCCCCATTGCTAATGTTCCCGAAGCAAAAAAGGTTACATGCAAAGCTGTACAGTATTTCAAAACACTTACTGCATAGGATTTACATCCTTTACTGTGTCCGTGTTTACTCAAACGTAATTCTCACTGAGTTCGATGGGAAATAATTTTAGGAAGGCCACCTTAACTACCTTAACTACCTTGCCACACTCAAAGAGGCTGTCCTACCAGACGAAAAGCTACGAACAATTAAAATAGCTTATAGCTTAGGAGGTTGCCTGAACTTGGTTAATTGTGCCTTATTCATCAAGCCATCGTGACTCATATGCCATGGCTTATGTCTTAGCCTGATGGATGAATGAAACCAATGATGGCTTATTCAACCACACAGGTTTAGAAGAAACATGGCTGAACTCAGTGTTCAGTTCCACTCACAATCGTTTATATTCCTCACAGCATCTTGAATCAGGGTTGTAAATAGACCCTGTTCCAGAGCTCAGCATGGGACCACATCCCTTTCCCCTACATCTTGGAGTATGGAGGGGGGTTCAGTCCATGCTAGTGATGACCAATATGGTGGAGGGTGTTTCAGATGACAAAAAGTGTGAGGAGTATCAGCTTAGGGACAGGAGACAGAAGACGTCAGTGACAGAAGATGAAATGGAACTAATACTCATTGGCATTGGAGTATGCAAAAGAGGAGGAGAAACCCACCACAGAAAACTCATTATCTTCTCTGTCGTTATGTTGGACTCACAACATAAATCAATCAGTCCTGGGAGTTGCCCCCTGCTTCATGCACACCCCCCCCCAAAAAGCTGAGTTTCCATTGGGCATCCCAAAATCCAAAGGAGACAAGAGAAGGGGCAACTCACAAACACAAGAAAGCAAAAAGTACCGCCTCAAAGGGGGAAGATATAGCAACTTTTAGTAAGAAATAAAATATCTAATTGCATACCGTGCAATCTTTTCTCAGGGCAAGGACAGACTTTACTCTTCACCAGAAATATTGCAACTTGTTATATTCTGTCTCTCTCTCTCCTAAGAAAGGTTATGTTCAACTTATCTTATCTTGCTTATTCAGCTTTTTTCTTTGCACCATTTTTAAACTTCCTTTCTTTTGGTTTTCACCTCCCCTAAAATGCTTTAAGTTTCTATTAAGGAAGCTTAAAAGATGTTCATGGTGTTAAAAACCTAATGGATGAATGCAAAAGTTTACAGCAAAGCAATGTCCTCAATTAAAAGAGCAGAAAGCAATGGTGAAAGTTTTACATAAACCCTACAGATAGTCTTAAAGAGGACAGAGATGACACTCAATATTGATTGTTTGATTGATCATAGTTAATATAGCTGCCCATCTCACAAAAAAAAACGACTCTGGGTGCTGTACAACACTCAATTAAAAAACCCATAAATACATATAAAACAATCATTAAAACTATAAAACTATAAAAACGCACACAATAGGAGAGGATGATATTAACCGTAGTAAGGGAGCCATCACAAAATCTTCCTGTCCTCTGGGACCCCCAGGTCTGATCATATGCTACTGAGGAAGAGCTAAGAATCTTTAGAAGAAACGGTGCTTAGGATACAGCTAGATTCAAGTCTTCAGGATATCTAATTACTGATATTGCCATTCACACACAAAAAAATCCAAAGCTGCAAAGGGAGAATTACAGTAAGAACATGCAACATGAAAAGCATGAATATGGGAAATTAATTAACTAGACATTGAATTCTTGAACATCAGCGCATTGAAATGGACTGGAATTGGAGATATTCAGTCAGAAGATCATACTATTTTCTACTCATGATAGGAAAAACAAAGGAACTGTGTTGCTTTCATAATCAGGAAGGATACAGCAAAGAGAGCAGGATAGCAATGAAGCCCTTGGAAAAGACATTCAGATGCTGGGACAAAACTATACCTTCAAAGATCAGAGTTGTACAGATAATGGTTTTCCCTTTGACACTCCATGGAAGTGAAAGTTGGACTTTAAAGAAGCAGGATAGAAAGAGTACTGATCTTTTGAACTCTAGTGTTGGAGAAGACTCCTATGAATACGATGGATAGCCAAGAAAATGAACAAATGGATCATAGTACAAATCAATCCAGAGTTCTCACCCAAGGCACAAATGACCAGGCTCAATATTTTGGACACAACACACAAAGAGCTAGCTCTCTGGAGAAGTCTGTAATGTTGGGAAAGGTAGAAGGAAAGAGAGGACAATCAGCAGCAAGATAGATTGGTTTGATTTCAGCAGTAATGAGTTTACCATTGGAAGACTTGCAGGACCACACTGGGGCCAGATCCTCCTGGACAAGGTCTATCTGTGTGGTAATCAAGAATCAACACCAACCTGATGTCACATAATCAATCAGCAAAGATATATTTGCAGTAAATATTCCTAACTATTAAAATGAATCCAGATAATAAATAAACCCCCCATTTTTTGCATATTTTTATGGAATCCTTATTAGGGATTGGCAACAGATTAGATTTGTTCCAAGAACCAGAAAACCTGCCATATTGTTATACAACCTCCAGAAAAGTAGGCAAAGCGCTTTGATCATTATTAATACATTCTAAGATATCATTTGCACACAGTAACAATTTGGGTTCAATTTCAGGTACCTGAATTAATTTGCTTTCTCTAGGTGGTCTGGTAAATCCATCAAAGATTCCAAAGCCAAGTTAAACGTGAGAAGAGATATACAACATCCTTGATGAGTTCCATGATGCATCTTAATTGGTGGGAAATTATATCTGCAGCTTCTGTTTCCTCCAGAAGTTCAAGCTGAAATGCCTGGGGAATCTTCCCTTGTTATTACAGATTTGGGGAACAGGCTGGGGTGAGAGAGCCTCAGTGTCACCAGCCTCCTTACCCCAGTCCAGTATTTATAGCTGACCACTAGATCTACAGCACTGTTTCTCAACTTTGGGAACTTTAAGAGGTGTCATAGCACCTCTTGGCTATTATATTGGAAAGTACTGGATATGGCCTCATACGTAGGTCAAGAACTTGAGCCAAATATATTCATTGTGGGAATTTGGGGGAGGAAAACTATATTCCTACTGCTGTTAACTTTGGTTAATTTTGGCAACAATCCTCCAGTTCATCTATAGTTCTGCCACTGAACTGACTTGATACGTGCACAGAGAAAGTGGGTTTTACTTCTGGATAAACGTGCACAGGACTGGATTATCAATCCTGCCCCACCTTCCACTCACTGAATACAACTGGAGCCTTTTTCCAGCAGCCCCGTTGCGGCACGTTTGGGCAAAAGCAACATCCGCTAAGTTGGTAGAACTTTTTTCCCGGCCGCAGCAAGATTTGCACCGTCTGCTTCCAGACGGGGTGGGAAAAACCGCACGCCCCCCCCCCCCAAAAAAACCAAACCCACGTTCACTAAGCCCTACTAAACTAAGCGTACTTACTTCAGAATAAACTCAGAGAGACGAAAAGGGTCCTATTCTGCGCCAGAGCCTTTGGGCGATGAGTCAAGGCGGGAAAGCGGGAGTTCAGGGCAAGTTTTCCGCGGCGAGCCGGCGAAGAAACCGCGTACCTGTGTCGGACGTTAATTAGCCCCTCGTTGCGTAAAGTCACCTGACGGACAGCCGACAGGTGCTAGCGAGGGGCGGGGAAATACACGGCACGGCGGCTGCTGATTGGGCTCCGCCGCTCGGGGCTGCCGTTGGCGAGGGATTCTGATCCTTCCTCCGCTCGGCTGGAAGCGGGGCAGGGAGGGCTGGGCGGTTGCTGCGGATCGAGACCAGGTTTCTCAACCTTGGGAACTTTAAGATGGGTGGACTTCAACTCCCAGAATCCCCCAGCCAGCCATGCTGGCTGGGGGATTCTGGGAGTTGAAGTCCACCCATCTTAAAGTTCCCAAGGTTGAGAAACACCAAACTACAGTATCCAATCTGGGCAAGAAGCAAGTCCTGAAATCAGTCTCCCCAGAAGAACGCCCATTATCCATCTAAAGTGGAAAACAGCTGGTGATTAGCAAAGGCGCTGGTCTACATGGCATAGCCTGAAAGCGGGAGGGAAGTCCACCCGTCCTAAAGCGGCCAAGGTTGAGAAACACTGATCTAGACCCTCTGGCTGCAATTGCGGCCACGGCTGGAAAAATAACGAAGGAGGGGAAGGAGGTGGGAAACAGGGTTGGAAAGAAGAGCGATCACCCCATTAGATGCCGGTCAGAAGACAGTCAGTTTCAGCCCAGTGGGGTGGGCTGAAGGCGGCTGTCCCGGCTAGACGACAGGGCTAACTGCACCACATGCCCAGCCTTGGCCTTTTGAGGCTAAATTTAACTCAGTGTCAACGAGCCAATGAATAACCATCTGATAGTGTTTAAGCAATGAGCAAGGTAAACTGCCAGCCAGTCCAGCGAGTAGTTTAAACAACGTCCAAGCAAATGCATTTCATTTCCACTTTAGGGAACCTCATTTAAAATGGCAAGCCCCTATATTCCAAAGACCTGGGATCTAGAGAGGCAACTAGCAAGTTCAACAACTGTTTCCAGGACAATCTGTCCCCGAAACTGAAAGGTTTACACAACAGGGGGTTGTATGACCTGTTGATTCATTTATATTGCCCTATGTTTACCGCTGAGGCTGCAACACATCAGGGAGGCCCCAGGGGGCAGCATCGCCCATACGCTCACCACTTTACCCTATTTTCCCCACTGAGGTTGTGATACTTCAGTAAGCAGTATATATTAAATACTTTGCCCCGAGGAGCAGTACATCCGATTAGTAATATTACATGGTCCTATTTTCCCTAAAGAAGGCCAGTTTAGTGTAGCGGTTAAGGTACCAGGCTCGAAACCAGGAGACTATGGCTTCTAGTCCCACCTTAGGCAGGAAGCCAGCTGGGTGACCTGGGGCCGCTCACTCTCTCTCAGCCCTAGGAAGGAGGCAAGGGCCAACCACTTCCAAAATCTTGCCAAGCAAACGGCAGGGACTAGTCCAGAAGTCAACAATGACTCCAAGGCACAAAAGATAAAAAATAAACTGCAAAGACCACGCAATATTGAGCCACAAAAGGACAGCATGTCCTATAGATTCCATTATACAGTATTGCCCTATTTCACCCCCAAACCCTACAGTACCTCACTGAGCCATCAGGGGGCAGTATCTATTATACATTGCGGAATCCTTGCGGTTCTCCGAGCTTGGCTGTTTTCTTGCAAATGTTTCGTCACCCGGCTAGGTAACATCTTCAGTGCTAGAATGGGGTGGGGTTTGCTGTGTTTATATACTGTGGCATGCCCTGCCAGTGTTGTTGGGGGTGTGGGGGTCTTGTTTTGTTCTATTTTTTTCCTCTGTAGTTCCTTGATTAAGGTATTGTTTACTGCTTGTATGTCTGGTGGTAATCTTGGTGTTAAGCTCTGCTTATCTGGGTGATGATTGCTGGTGAGATGTCCTGGTCTTGTTTTCCTTTCTTTTCTCTCTTTTGAATAGCGTGTAGATGTATTACACATTACATTACCCTATTTACCCTACAGGGCAAATTAATAGACTCTATACGAAATACTGCCCCATGGTGGCACAATGAGGTATTCCAGATTCAGTGGATGAAATGGACTGACATAATGGAATTGATAGGAAAGATTCAGTGAGGTGTTGCAGTCTCAATGCGGTAAATAGGGCAATAAAATGAAATATACATGATATAATTTTAGTCCCATTTTTTTTCACATTACCCTTTAACTTTTATTACTAGAACTTGCAGATCCTTTGCATTTTCAGCTATTAGTGGAGTGTCACTAGTACGGTGCAGATTATTTATTTTTTATAAGAACTTTATTAAGTTATAAAAAGCATAAAGATAAAAGCAAACAAATACTAATAATCGAAGAGAGAAATAAGAGAATGAGAGAGTTAGAAATAAAGAATACAAAAATGATGAAAAGGGAAGAAAGGAAAAACTACAAAAAGAACGACTTCTGACTTCTTATACAACAGAGATAGATAAATCATACAGTGACCTCTTACTCTAAAACTACATCTTAACGTACATATTTTGTATAACCTATTATTTTAACTAATCAAATCCATAAATCATAATTTCATTTTTTTCTGTCTCCTGCAAAAAGTCCAAAAGGGGCTAGCATAGTGCAGGTTATTGATGCTACTTCCTTCAATTTTAAAACCACACTCGTCTTCCGAGCCAGCTCCCCTTAATATAAATAAGGCAAGAGTATGCAGCCTTGCCTCTTTTTGCCAAACTGGACGCATTGCAATCTGCAGGAAATAATGTTCAGTGTTCCCTATAGATTACATTTCCCTTTTTTTCCCATTAAGCTTGCAAAGTCTCATTGAGACGCCGGGGGACAGCATTTTCTTTAGCTTCCATTGCATTGCCCTATATTCCCCATTGAGCCACCAGGGGGCGGCATTTCCTTTAGATTCCATTATATTTCCCTATTTTCCCCATTGAGCCTGCAATAGCTCCCTCAGCCACAAGAGGGCAGTATTTTCTATAGATTCAGTTGTATTCCCCTTTTTTCCATATTGAGACTGCAATACCTCACGGAATCTACAGTGCGGGAAATGGTAGCCCCTGGTGGCTCAGTGTGGAATTGCAGGCTCAATGGGGAAAACAGGGCAATACAATCAAATCTATAGGAAGTTCTGCCCCCTGGTGGGTCAATGCGGTATTCAAGGCTCAAGGGGGAATATAGGACAATATAATGGAATCTAAAGGAAATGCTGCCCCCTGGTGGGTCAATGCGGTATTCAAGGCTCAAGGGG